GAGAGAGAGAGAGAGAGAGAGAGAGAGAGAGAGAGAGAGAGAGAGAGAGAGAGAGAGAGAGAGAATGAGAGAGAATGAGAGAGGGGGCGTGGGATGAGGGAGAGTACAACAATTTTGTCTTTCGGAAACTTGTTTAGAATGCATATGTGCTTTATTTGAATATAGCTCATATGGGCTATATTCGAATTGCCCTTCTATTTGAGAAAAAAGGTACTAACTTTCGAAAAAAGGTTTTTTAAGAAAACTCGAATACAACACATATGCGTTATGTTTGGGGGAAGAAGATAGTGGTACCTCCCTTTTTTCCGTGGCCTGTTTGTCAAAGGACATGCATAAATGCCTGAGCAGTCAACACACGACAATGACACCAGGCAAAAGGCAAAGAGAAGAAGAAGAAGAAGAAGCAGCAGCAGAAGAAGAAGAAGAAAGGCAATACCCAGGATAATAAGGAACTCCCGAACGCGACTGTTCAATAAAAAAAATGGTGTGAAAACATCACGGAACCGTACGGCGAACGACCCGACCGGTTTCGGCTGGCCGCCGTGACCAACTCTCATCAGGGGTCTTTAGTGAATAGGTAGTGCGTTGTCAACTTATATATCCTAGGTAAGTGAAAAAAGCAGAAAGGAAAAAAATCTAAAAAACTATCCTGGGCTAATATTCCGAACAGATTCATCAGAAGACGACGTATCCTAAGCGAAGTTCATAATATCGTCAGACCCGAGACAATCCCGGTACTATCTCAAAACCGGCGTGATCGGAAGTTCCAGTCTTCAGACCACTTGTCCTAACGTATATTAAAAAAAAAACACACCTCGGAGGTCACCGGCTCAAACCCCAGCACTCAACTCGAAACCACTGTTACCGAAAGTTCCACAATCTTCAATCGGCTGTCCGAAACACTTTCCGGAAAACTCACACATCAGAGGTCGCCAGTTCAAAACATACGCCAAACAACTATTTTTAGTCCTACCGTAAATCCCAAGGCGAAGCTCAGCGACTACATAGCATCAATGACGTCGCAGGTTCAAATCCTACCTTCCCCTTAAATAATCACAGCCACAGGCCCGAGCTTCCAAAATCAAAACGTATTATTATTACTACCACAAAAATAAGGTCATAGTTTGAAATCAATTTCGAAAACGGACACCCTAAATAGGTCAACCAACTCTGCAACTCAACAACTCAGCACCATCACCAAAGGTCCTAAAGCCGGACCAAGTTCCTCTGACATGACCATTACGACCGGCATGTCAACACCGGTAGCCACTCGCACCACAACCCACAAAACTTACCCGAGAAGCTAACTAGCGCGTTATCAAAGAAGTCATCGGGATAACCTTCTTCCACAACTCAACTTTCAAAGAGAAGAGAAAAGCTAGTTCAGTGCCGATGAGAGTAGTAAAGGTACGTGCTCGATGGAGGAAGGAACCAATAACAACCATTTTTTGCATGTAGCTGGAAAAAGACGAAAAATGTTGAATACTCTGAAAGACCACCCTCTCGTTACTCCAAGTCAACTGATTCTTGTGGGTAGCAGCACACCCAAGACCTGCATTGCCCTTCAAGATGTTGAAAATACATCCTAAAAATTCCCTGTTAGATCCCTCGCTCGTTCTCTCCAAGACCAGATTGGAGTCGTAGCAATCTTGAAATCTCCCTATCAACTGTTGAGCCGCATCTTCGGATTCACGAGAGCCAGTCTTACAGATGACAAAAACTAACACATCATCAACGAGGCGAAATCCTTCAAACAATTTCCGTTCACTCCCTAATGCAGACAGAAACGAAAATTTTTTGTAGGCGCACAACAAACAGGCCAAAGCCGGTACGCCCACAGTGTGCCACAAAATTCTACCCATAGCCTTGACAAAAGTCTTCTTCAACTCAAAGGAGACAAAGCGAATAATTTGTTGGAAAGTGATCGTAACCCATCCTTCCTCTCCAGATTTACGAACCAATTTAGCACCCTTCCCTCTCGACCTAACCGCAACAGCACCAAAACCTTCACAGTACCAATAGTCCGTTACCCAATCCAAAGCACGGAGAATAGAGGAATGTGGGAGATTAGAAAACATTTCTTTCACGTCAAACGACGCCCCGACCAGAAATTCATTCTTTCTGAGTTTCGTATTGATTCTCTTGATGTTATCTACCAAGTCCATAGTTCTTCTCATATTGAAATGAAGACGAGATGAAAGATGCCAGCGTAGTTGATTAAATGCCTTAGACACCTTTCTTCCTCTAGCAGCTGCGTTCTTAGAGAAGGATGGACAGATCGGACGCCATTTGGTCACATCTTTATGCTTCGGGATGCAGTAAGCTTGTCCCAAAGTACCGTTATACTTCCACAATCCCACGTTTTGCAGACCTAACTCCACATATTCCGCCTTACACCTCGATAAAACTTCAGACTCCTCATCCTTGCAGGTAGAGAAAGTTGGATTATCCAGAAAAAGTTTACTCATCCCACTACGGTATACAATCGGGCAACAGACAAAAGTGTCCCCAACATTATGGTCAATTGGGACGCAGACCAAACCGTCAAAGGTAGACTTCAGTCGATCGAAATTCTCAGTGCTACACTCTTTCAACACGGACCAATTCTCACCAGAGACGGGCACAAGGGTGGAGGAAGAAGCATCATTCGAAGAGGGAAGAAAATATGAATTGAGACAAGAAGATAACTCATCAGGGTTCAAGACCTCATCAGATAGACAGGGAAGAGACCGCATCAGACCAAAGGAGGATAGAATTTGCTTACGTAGATTCTTACAATAGTTATTATGAGAAGGTTTAAGTATATTCTTCGCATTACAGAGCCAGGTAGGAAAAAAAGACAAGTCGTTAATTCTAAAAGACACGTGGCCATATTTTCGAGGAAGTCCAGTCCTCACCTCATAATAACCACAGACTGCTTCCGACTGCTTAGAATAGTAACGAAAATTATGTAGACAGTCCCCTACAGTACGATTTTGACACCAAACGATTCTCATCCATCGAATCAACAAGTCCTTCCACGTACCCGGAATTCCCAGGCCCCCGATGATCCTTATACACACTTATCGAATCCGTGCCTTGTTGTAACTCGGATCAATAGTCAATCGAATAACAAGCCGTTGCCGAACATGCACATCATAGCAGGTGATTATAGTCCTAGAGAGAATCCCCGTAGTTTAAACCTGGTGCGTTTCTCGTGAAAAATTCGGATTAGCCGAGAAAGCCAATACAAGCTTATCAAACTCTCATCGGTTAAACTCCTTCCTTGTCCTCGGATTACTAAGTAGTCGAATCAAAGGTTCTTTGAGGCAGAGAACTCATCGCAAAAATAGGACAGTATTAGAAACAACAATTGTGACATCACTGACCAACCAACCTTGGGAACGTCGAAATAGTAGATCCTTTATACAATCTCTTCACGATGTTTTACTTATCAGCCAATCGAACCCCTCCTTTTCATCTAATAGCACAACTGGAAACACCCTATTTAATACATGAATCGAGTATATGCAAGTTAATGCAACAAGTTAATAGAAGTAATCCCTATGGAGGAAGTGAATTCCAAAAAAAACTTGGAAGGCAACTCCGTACTGCACAAGTTTCGTTTACCTTTTTCTCTTAATCTTTCACGTAATCCCTTCCTAATCCTCTTCGATCGGCATGGTTTATCACAAACATTTAAAGCAGCCCCAAAGGTTCAAATAAAAAACTTCTTGGAAATCAATAAATCGTCCTGACTTCTACACGAATATCGGAATTGCAATATAACGATTCACACCGCATCGTCTTAGCCAGTGATAAAGTTTCTCATTACGATCCCCACGATGTAGTAAAGAAGGATTACAGACTCGATAAGCATGCTCACTCCAATGCGTATGCACATCCCTACCGGTACTCCCTATATAAACATGTCTACACCAGGGGGAAATGAGAGCATAGACCAGAGGACCATCACAACGCTCGAAATCATACCCAGCACCAAGAAGACAAGTGAAACAATCAACAAATTTTCAGCCCAGGGAATCTCGCCAGAAAGGGTCAACCCAATCACTGCCAAACAAAACAGCCCGTTTAATATCGACAACGCAAACGCTGAACAGACACACTTCGCAGATTCGAACAGTGCCTAGCTACTTTCCAAAAGTAAGCTGCGTCGGAAGCTAACCCTAAGAAGTGCCCTCGCCAGCCCCGTCAAACTTACCGAGATCATCACTTGCTTCCTCAATGTTGTCGGAAACTTCTATCGCAGTCCCACCCGACGTTCCACGTGGAAGTTCACCATGAGCTTTCTGTGTCCTTCGAAAAGCTATTTCTTCCTTCGTCTTGTCCAATGTGGTATACGTAATTTTCTCTTTCTCGCAAATGGAAACCACCATGTCCTTCTTCGGGGGCTTCAGTATCCGTCGACACTCCCTCAGGAACCCCTCACGATCATTAGCATGTGCATCCTTCTTGGCCGCTTCAGCTGCAAAGCTATCAAAGCCACCATCGCCTCCTCCTATCGCCTCCTCCAGTCTAAGTCGTAAGTCAGTTGCAACTGACTTTGATGTGTCTCCTTCATTCGTGAGGCTTTCGTTTTCCCCGTTGACTTCATCTGAACCTTACTCAAAGCTTCCTTCAGCTTCTCAATTTCCTCATACTTCTCTTCTTTCACTCTCTCGGCTTCTTGCTTAGCCTCTCTCCTCCGATTGAATTCACGAATCCTCATTTCCTTCAAAACATTGACCTCTTCCGTATGCCTTGCAACCAACTCGCTGTAATCATCGTCGATCTTCTTCTTAGTGTTAAGCGGCGTCGCAGCGAGAGCGCATCGAGGTCGAGAGCGCAGGAGCGGACTCGGTGTAACCCCAAAAACAATGTTCCCACGTTTGTTGCCTGGTCGTTGCGCTTCCAGTTTCCAGCGTTCCGCCTCATTCATTGCCTCCTCTGAGATGCACTTCAAGCTCATCACCTGCTCCTCTAGTGCCGCAATTCGCCTCTCGTTCGCTTCCTGTGCTTTTCGTTTCACCTCATCATACTCGCGGTGCAGCCGAATAGAGGTTTTTGCCTCATTTACCGTCGCAGCAAGTAAGTTTCTCATCTTCTTCAGGTTATTAACCTCCGCTCTTAAAGTCTCCATATCGCACACTTCCTTGTTCTTCAGGTTCATAATCTCTTCGGCACCTCCAAGTCTAAAAGAAATCAAGTCCCCTATCTGCTTGTAGTGTTCATCACGATCTTGCTTGTCCTTCTGTCTTCTTAGTTCATCTTCCCTTTCCCGTTTCTCTTTCTCCTCAGCTTCAATCTTCTTCTTCTCACGTTCTTCTTCGGCATCATGGCGGATCTTTATCTTCGCAACAATTTCTTCCCAGGTCTCAATCCTCTTCGTATTACTTGGTCCAATCCAGCCTCCTCGGTTGAATTGTGAATTGGAATACGTGTTATTACTCGTACTCGGCAACGTCAAAAGCGGTTGAGTCTGGACAGGAACGATAGCGGAATTGGGATTAGACACAGGCACCTGACGAGGAGGATGAGGACAAAAACGTTGAATGTGGTCAGCTTGGCCACAGTTGTAACAAGAACGAACGAAGCCATTGTTGGTAGCCATAATGGTAGTTTCCTGCTAAGCCGGTTGAAGCACTCGAAGCCACTTAGTTAGAGTATAATCTCTACACCGGTTACTTCGTGGAAGAAAGTTTGTCAAAGGACATGCATAAATGCTTAAGCAGTCAACACACGACAATGCCACTAGACAAAAGGCAAAGAGAAGAAGAAGAAGAAAAAAAAAAAAAAAAAAAAAAAAAAAAAAAAAAAAAAAAAAAAAAAAAAAAAAAAAAAAAAAAAAAAAAAAAAAAAAAGGGGGCCACGTGCCTGGCTGAATTGCTAAAAATGCCAGCCTGAGTTTCAACTGCATTTGAAGCTCGGGCCCTGACTAAACTGCTGAAACGCAGTTTGAAGTGCAATTACAAACTGCTTTCGTGCCGAAACCTTTTTGGTTTTTGGCGCCCGAAAAAACCTTGGCCGGTACTATGCGCCCAGGGAAAATTCGGTGGGTATTTTCACCCCGCCTCCGGCCCTGCTTGAGGCGGTTTTCCCTGGGCCCACAGGCGCTTTCCACCAATTATCCCTACCTTCAGGGGGTGGGGATTATGTCATTATGATAACTGAGGGACGCGTCACTGACAGCCATCAAGGGGAAAGCTGCACTGTTCCAATCAGGGTGCCAGTCTCCACCCTGTATCTGAGGGGAAAGCATGGGGGTCATCTCAACGGTCTTTTTCATGGCGTTTGTTTGTGGGGAAAGAAGACAGAAAAAGGAGAAGAAATGCAAATAGAGAGGCCAGGGGAAGGATTCAGTTTAGCTCGCCCAACGAACAGAAAGGACCTTTGTGAACAAGTAGACAACTCAGTGCATGGCCAACTGGCCTCCACAAAGCGTCAAACCGGTCCAGTTACGCAGGACCAGGTTCCCAATCGGGTCCAATAGCCAATTGAGATCAGAGGCTTCCACGAGGGTTCATCCTAGGAAGGGTACTGACGCAAATCTGGGGATGGCTCCCACTATGTAGCTCGCCCCACGACAGAAAGGACCTCTAGGAACAAGTAGACAACTCAGTCAATGGCCAACAAGCCTCCACTAGCCTTTGCAAAGCGTCAAACCGGTCCAGTTATGCAGGACCAGGTTACCAATCAGGTCCAACAGCCAATTGAGATCAGAGGCTTCTACGAGGGTTTACCCTAGGGACTGTACCGAAGCGAAGCAGGGGATGGCTTCCGCTATGTTGAACTTCCTCGTGTTTGTGTATGGGACGCTGGAGCCGGTTTCCGGCAGGTGAAGCTCCGCACCAATGGATAGATGTCATCCAATGCAAAGCCTTGATCCTGATTGGTTGGCTTACCACCACAGGACCACAGGCTTTCACTGGAAGTTTAAGTCAAAGGAAAAAAGGAAGAATTTCAAATAAAATGAAAGAAAGAACAGAAGAAATAGGGAGGCCACTGTCTTTGACAGTGTCCAGGAGGGCCTGGTTGGACATCAACCCTGATTGTAGCACGGGGTAGCTAACATCTGTGGGAGGTGGGGACCACAGTTTTCTGGCGACAGCTTACATCTGTGAGAGGGGGATAGCTTACATCTGTCAGAGTTGGGAGGGGGACCACAGTCCTCTAGCAATAAGTGGCAGAGCCATTTCAGTCGTCTCCTGTGATGGATCAAACCTCTATCGCTGGGTGACGGATTGACGGATTAATCCTACAAGGCCGGGCATGGATTAATCCCACATCATCTATACAATCTGATGGTAAGCAGGGAGGGACATAATTGGTCTTTGCCCATTATGGGTACATCTTACACCTTGATCCCGAATGAGCCTGCTTTACGCAGGCAGGGTGCCGCAGTGGGGGACATGCAAGGTCGGTAAGTCCGGTAGAGATCCTCTCTCTCTCTCTCTCTCTCTCTCTCTCTCTCTCTCTCTCTCTCTCTCTCTCTCTCTCTCTCTCTCTCTCTCTTTGTGCCCTGACCAATTTGGTTAAGGCTCCACAGGATAAGTGACTTAAGAAAATGTTCACTGCATTCAACAGGGTCGCAAAGCAGGGGCTGGTTAGGCGCTAGGCTTCAGATTGATGCAAGGTAGGTAGGGAGTTAAAATTTTGTTTGTTGGGGCTGGTCCCATATGATTCTGTTTATTGAACCCATCGCGGTTAGTTACAGTGGCTATCTGAATTTTGACCTACCTGTGGTTGGACGCGAGGAGCATACAAACTTATTTTCTTGAATAATTGTCTTTCAGATTTTGACACAGTGGTTTCTATCCTAAAGCCTTACCATGGTACAATGATACTCGAAACTTTTTTACTGCGTCCAACTACTCTTTTGTGGGGAAGGTGGACTTGTTTTGACGTTTCGAGTGGTATGAGCCCATGTAGCAGCTTGTTCGGGTTTGGTGCGCCAAAACCCTCCAAACGCGAACATAAAAATATTTACAAAAAAAANAAAAAAAAAAAAAAAAAAAAAAGGCAATACCCAGGATAATAAGGAACTTCCGAACGTGACTGTTCCGTAAAAAAAATGGAGTGAAAACATCACGGAACTATACGGCGAATGACCCGACCGGTTTCGGCTGGCCGCCGTGACCAGCTCTCATCAGGGGTCTTTAGTGAATAGGTAGTGTGTCGTCAACTTATATATCCTAGGTAAGTGAAAAAAGCAGAAAGGAAAAAAATCTCAAAAACTATCCTAAGCTAATATTTCGAACAGATTCATCTGAAGACGACGTATCCTAAGCGAAGTTCATAAAATCGCCAGACCTAAGACAATCTCGGTACTATCTGAAAACCGGCGTGACCGATAGTTCCACAGTCTTCAGACCACTTGTCCTAACCTATATTAAACCCCCCCACACCTCAGAGGTCACCGGCCCAAACCCCAATACTCAACTCGAAACCACTGTTACCGAAAGTTCCGCAATCTTCAATCGACTGTTCGAAACACTCTCCGGATAACTCACACATCAGAGGTCGCTAGTTCAAAACATACGCCAAACAACTATACTTAGTCCTACCATAAATCCCAAGGCAAAGCTCAGCGACTACATAGCATCAATAACGTTGCAGGTTCAAATCCTACGTTCCCCTTAAATAGTCACAGCCGCAGGCCCGAGCATCCAAAATTAAAACGTATTATTATTATTACTACCACAAAAATAGTAAGAGCTACCGTGGCCTGGCCTGGGAGCAGGTAGCAGGCCCTCCCGTTCTTTTTGTTTTTTTTCCCCCCATTTTTGGCTTTTGGCGGGACTCGGCTCGGGCGGGTAGCGGTGGACTGCGTTTTCGCATGGTGGCCACCGTTTCGAAATTGCGCGGCAACCAATGTGACACCCGCGGCCTAGGCCAGGGGCATTTCGGCTGCTGGGGTCGAGAATCTCGGCCGCGGTCGCGGCCGATGAGGCCCGATCCGCGACCTGTTTTTTTAATATTTTTTTTGACCCCCAAAAATACATTAAAAATATATATATATATATGGGGGTGTAGGGCTTGGAAAAACCTACACTCCTATATTTGTTCTTTTCGAATCCGACTTTGTTTAATTTAAAAAAAAATAAAAAACTAAATTTGATTTAAACAATTAAAAAATATATATATAAAGAAAAAGCAGGATTTTTTTTTTGTCATTTTTTATCATGAGATATATGGTCCCTGAGTTGACCTCTATTTTTTTTAGAAATAAATTTCTGTTTTTTTGCATGGAAATGAGGTGTTTTGAAAAAGTGCAGATGCAAAATTTGAAAACAAATAAAAAAAAAAAGGGTTTGATTGATTTAGTGTGTGTGTGTGTGTGTGTTTGTGTGTGTGTGTATGTGTGTGTGAGTGTGTGTGTGTGTGTGTGTGTGTGTGTGTGAGAGAGAGAGAGAGAGAGAAAAGGTAAGTCTCCGACGTTGCGGCTGCGTGTGTGTGTGTGTGTGTGTGTGTGTGTGTGTGTGTGTGTGT